CCTTTTTTTTAATTTTCATGAATTTCATACAATATTTTTTAAGTCCTAAGTCCTCTCCCCTCCCTCTCTCATATCAGAGAAGGAGGGAGAGAATGTGTGAGAGAGTATCCTACAGAGTCAAATTTGTGTCCTCCAAAGTCACACCCTTAAAAGGACTGACTCCCCTCCTCCCAGCAACCTTTAATACTTCTCAGGTAGTGTTTCTTACCCAGTTCCTTATGTCTATGTTGGAATTTTGTCTGGCTTGTGATTACATGGGACTTGCACATACTGTCGCTATTGCTATGCATTCATGTAGGCAACTAACAAGCTCTATTGAAGAAGAAAAAAAATGTTTCCTTCTGATCTTGTGATCATCTACCACCTGGCTCTAACAATTTAGGCCCTTTCTTCTCCAATGATAACCGTGCTTTGGGGTGCAGAACTTTGATATAGGTGTCCTATTCATAAATAATCCCTCTACAGTTTCTTATTATCTGCATGTATGTCAGTTGTGGGTTTCTGTTTCAATTTCTATCTGCTGAATAAGGAAGTTTCTCTGGCGAAAGTTGAGAGATGCACTAATATGAATGACTAAAAACATTTATGTGTTTAACTTGACAGCTATTAAAAACAGGGCAGAAATGTTTTTGACTGAATGAATGCTCTACCTAAAAACAACTTCACAGTCCCCTTCATGGTCTTGTTCCTCAGACTGTAAATAATAAGGTTGAGTGTCGGGGGTAATACTGTATAAAAAATAGACATGATGAGGTCTAGAGCAGTTGGAGAGTCGCCCCTTCATGGTCTTGTTCCTCAGACTGTAAATAATAAGGTTGAGTGTCGGGGGTAATACTGTATAAAAAATAGACATGATGAGGTCTAGAGCAGTTGGAGAGTCGGAGGTTGGATTGAGATAAGCACAGGCACCTGTGGACATAAAAAATGAGACCACACAGAGGTGGGGCAGGCAGGTAGAGAAGACCTTAGACCGACCTTCAGCAGAGGGAATCCTAAGGACTGTGGAGAATATGTGGACATAGGAGAGGGTGATGGCAAAGAAGCAGGCAAACCCCAATAAAGACATAAAAGCAACCACTCCAATCACTCCAGGGTAATCATCAGGACAAGACAGTTTGAGCAATTGTGGAACATCACAGAAGAATTGGTGGATAATTTTGTCCCTACACAATCTGATAGAGAATGTTGTTGCTGTGTACAAAGTTCCTGTGATACCTCCACTTATCCATACAGCTGTCACAGCCCACCTGCATGTTCTGAGACTCAAAATGACTTGATAGTTCAGTGGGAGGCAGATGGCCACATAGCGGTCATAGGACATCACTGTGAGAATGGCCACCTCAGCAGAAGCCAAAGACGTGAAGAAGAAAACCTGCAGCACACACTGAGCATAGGAAATGCAGCCACTGCCTGTCAGGGAATTGTGGATAGACTGGGGGACAGTGACAGAAAGTAAGGAGATGTCAAGAAGGGCAAGGTGCCTCAGGAAGTAATACATTGGTGATTGGAACTGCAGTTTCATCGTTGTGATGGTGATGATGATGAAGTTACCTGTCAAGCCCAGCAGATACATCACCAAGAAGAGAAAACCGTGTAGGATCTGCAGCTCCTGGTTGTCAGAGAATCCCAGGAGGAGGAAGCCACGCACTGTGGTTATGTTTATCAGAATCATTTTGTGAATAGAAATTGTGGAAGGAGCTGGAAAATGAAAAGACCTGGTAAATGCAGTGGAATACATTTATTCAGGACTTAATGTTTCAATGCCTTTTTTTTGCTTTTTTTGATTTTTTGTGAATTTCACACAATATTTTATTGTATTTAGATCCTCTCCCCTCTTTCTCATCCCATTATTATTCCCCAATCAATTTCACTCTCTCATATATATGTATATGAGAGAGAGAGAGTGTGTGTGTGAGAGAGCATCCTAAAGAGTCAAATTTGTATCCTCCAAAGTCACACA